CTCGTAGGACATACCTCTTAGTTCCGGGACTAATTATGTTGCAAACTTTTGCACCTTCTCTAATATTCTGACGTGCTTGACCAGGTGTGGGATCCATTCTGGTGTTGCATACTCTACACGGTGTACCGAGTCTTGAACGATTGCTTACGAAGATGTCGAAACGCTATTCTTAGGCTTGCAGGTGCCTATATGCTGCAGCAGTTATTTGGATGATGTACGCCTCAGATGTGCTCGGTATTATACTCACCCCAAGATCATTTTTCTTAAGCGAGGTCTGCAGTCTTTGGCCTCCCTAGCCTATACTCTGTCTGCGGTCTTCTTTGACCTTTACCAGTCTTCATGGCTTTGCTCTTAGTGGGGTTAAACTCCAGGAACCAGTTGCTGGACTAGACTTGCAACCTGTCCAGATCCCTTTGTCGTCCTACCTGATCCGCATTCGATTTAATTTTTCACATTAGCTTCACATAGTCTGTTATTCCTGTCTGATCGTCTAGCTTTTGCAATAATATCTTGTGCGGAATCCTGTAGAAGGCCTTCTTGTAATCCAAGAAAATGCAGTCTACCCACTCCTATATATCTATCCCTCCCCCCCTTTTTTCTTTCTCTCCCCCCTCTCCCCCCCTCCCCCCTCTCCCCCCCCTTTCTCTCCCCCTCTCTCTCTCCCCTCTCTCTCTCCCCCTCTCTCCCCCTCTCTCTCCCCCCCCTCTCTCTCCCCCCCTCTCCCTCCCTCCCCTTCTCTCTCTCTCTCCCCCTCCCCCTCTCTCTCTCTCTCTCCTCTCCCCTCCTCTCTCTCTCCCCTCCCTCTCCCCTCTCTCTCTCTCCCCCCTCTCTCTCCCACTCTCCCCTCTCTCTCCTCCTCTCCCCTCTCTCTCTCTCCCCCTCTCTCCTCTCCCCCTCTCTCCCCCTCTCTCCCCCCCCTCTTCCCCCCCTCTCCTCTTCCCCCCCTCTCCCCTCCCTCTCCTCCCCCTCTCTCTCCCCTCTCTCTCCCCCCCTCTCTCTCCCCCTTCTCCCCCCTCTCTCTCCCCCCCTCTCTCTCTCCCCCCTCTCTCTCTCTCCCCCTCTCTCTCCTCCCCCCTCTCTCTCTCTCCCCCTCTCTCCTCCCCTCCCCTCTCTCTCTCCCCTCTCCTCCCCCCCTCTTCTCTCTCCCCCTCTCTCTCTCCCCCTCTCTCTCTCTCCCCCCTCTCTCTCTCTCTCCCCCCTCTCTCCTCTCCCCTTCTCTCCCCCCTCTCTCTCTCTCCCCCTCTCTCTCCTCTCCCCCCTCTCTCTCTCTCCCCCTCTCTCTCTCTCCCCCTCTCCTCTCTCCCCCTCCTCTCTCCCCCTCTCTCTCTCTCCCTCCCTCTCTCTCCAGTAAGTTTGTGACACAGGATTTCCCTTCCCCGAAACCGTGCTGGTTATCGTTTATAAGCTCATACCTTTCTAGGTCCTCCACCACTCTTTTGATAATATTCTCCATGACTTTGCATACATGTCAGTGACACTGGTCTGTAGTTAGTGCTGCCTGTCTGTCTCCTTTCTTAAACACTGAGACTACATTTGCTGTCCTCCACGCCTCAAGTAGTCGCCCTGTTTCAATAGATATGTTGATTGTTAGTGGCACACAGAGCACCTGTGCTCCCTCTCTCAGGACCCATGGAGAGATGTCTGGTCCCACCGCCTTTGAGGTATCTAGATCACTTAGTAGCTTTTTCACCTCCTCTGCTGTGTGTATTGTGTCCAGCACTTGTGTACCCCACCATTTCCCTTTTCTGGAGTCCTTTCTGGCTCCACTGAAAATACTACCTTAAATCTTGAGTCGAGCTCTTCGCCTACTTCTCTGTTGTTTCTTGCGATCTCCTACCTTTCATCCTCAGTCTGATTACTTGAACCTTGACTCTTATTTACCGCCTGATGTGGCTGTACAGCACCTGGTTAGATCTGGCTTTTTATGCTATGTCATTTTTGTATTGCCTCTGGGTCTCTCCTTATCTGTGCATATTCGTTTCTGGCTCTTTGACTAATCTCCTAATTTTCCTGGGTCCTTTGTCTTCTATACTTTTTCTGTTCTCTAGTGCACTTAATTTTGGCCTCTCTACACCTTTGGGTGAACCAAAGGCTCGTTCTGGTCTTCCCATGGTTTCTGTTGCCCATGGGTACCTCTCCTCAGCCTCTTTGCATGTCACGTACGTACGTACGTACGTGTGTGTGTGTGTGTGTGTGTGTGTGTACTCACCTATTTGTGGTTGCAGGGGTCGAGTCACAGCTCCTGGCCCCGCCTCTTCGCTGATTGCTACTAGGTCCTCTCTCTCCCTGCTCCATGAGCTCTATCATACCTCGCCTTAAAACTATGTATGTGTGTGTGTGTGTGTGTGTGTGTGTGTGTGTGTGTGTGTGTGTGTCGTATGCGTGTGCGCGCGCGTGTGTGTGTGTGTGTGTGTGTGTGTGTGGCTGTGTGTGTGTGTGTGTGTGTGTGTGTGTGTGTGTGTGTGTGTGTGTGTGTGTGTGCGCGCGCGCGCGCGCGCGTGCGCGAGAGAGAGAGAGAGAGACAGAGACAGAGACAGAGACAGAGAGAGAGAGAGAAAAAAAAGGAGAAAGAGAAGAAAGAGAAGAAAAGAGAAAGAAAAAGAGAAAGGAGAAAGAGAAGAAGAGAAGAAAGAGAAAGAAAAAGAGAAAGAAAAAGAGAAAGAAAAAGAGAAAGAAAAAGAGAAAGAAAAAGAGAAAGAAAAAGAGAAAGAAAAAGAGAAAGAAAAAGAGAAAGAAAAAGAGAAAGAAAAAGAGAAAGAAAAAGAGAAAGAAAAAGAGAAAGAAAAAGAGAAAGAAAAAAGAAAAAGAAAGAAAAGAGAAAGAAAAAGAGAAAGAAAAAGAGAAAGAAAGAAAAAGAGAAAGAAAGAAAAAGAGAAAGAAAGAAAAAGAGAAAGAAAGAAAAAGAGAAAGAAAGAGAGAGAAAGAAAGAGAGAGAAAGAAAGAGAAAGAAAGAGAGAAAAAGGAAAGAGAAAGAGAAAAGAGAGAAAGAGAAAAGAGAGAGACAGAATGCTCCACTTTCTTGGTTTGCCTCTTCCCCCCCTCTCATCTGCGACTGCTTGACAGAGTAGAGAACAGAGCAAGACGTCTCATCTCTCGCCTGGACCCATCCTGGATAGATCTGTCATTTCAGCAGAGCCTTCAACATAGGAGGGATGTGGGTGGCCTTACTGTTATGTACAAGGCCAATATTGTCAAAATACCACACTTCGATGCACTTCGAGGACAGCGTGAAACAAGCTTTTATGCCACAAGACGGGCAGAAAGCAGCAACTTCACTCTAGCTGTACCCTTCTCCAGAACATCACTCCATCTGAGATCATACATACCCAGGATGACTCGAGTATGGAACACATTCGTACAGCATAATGATGTCAACGAGATGAAGTCAGTTGATCAAATGAAAATGCTGGCCCACAGATGGCTCCAACTTCATCCTGTTCCCTACTTGTATGTCTCATAACAATAAAAATGCTTTCAAATGAGCTGATGTAGGTAACAGCTCTTAGCTTGCCAATAAAGTTAGGAATCCTTAACCTGTAAATAGCTGTCAATAAAGCTAGGGATCCTTAACCTTGTCAAACCCTGTGTAAAAAAAAAAAAGAGAGGGCGGGCGGGCGTTGTTCATCGTCCATTTCTGAACACATCCGACAGAAAATTAGGTTTATATAGATCTGTAACAAATATGTTTATTGGACCATAAATAAATTAAAGCAAAATATAGAGAAAGTCTAGTTGCGCAGCGTCTCTAGAAACCAACTTAACGTCATAACCCGCACGTCTTTCCCAGGCATGGTTAGTTGTCGGAGTGAGTAAGTGGGAGGACCTGCATCAGTGCATTCACTAAGGGTTGGGTGAGAAGGGAAATAAATGCTTGTATATAAAGGAGCATGCTGACGGTAAATAAGAAAAATCAGGAACAAAATAAGCTTTTGTGGAGTCATTTCTACGACAGAACGACCAAAAGTGAGGTACGTGTGACACTTGTGGTCCTGTCACTGGCGTGACACTTGTGGCCCTGTCACTGGCGTGACACTTGTGGTCCTGTCACTGGCGTGACACTTGTGGCCCTGTCACCGGCGTGACACTTGTGGCCCTGTCACCGGCGTGACACTTGTGGCCCTGTCACCGGCGTGACACTTGTGGTCCTGGCACTGGCGTGACACTTGTGGTCCTGGCACTGGCGTGACACTTGTGGTCCTGGCACTGGCGTGACACTTGTGGTCCTGGCACTGGCGTGACACTTGTGGTCCTGGCACTGGCGTGACACTTGTGGTCCTGGCACTGGCGTGACACTTGTGGTCCTGGCACTGGCGTGACACTTGTGGTCCTGGCACTGGCGTGACACTTGTGGTCCTGGCACTGGCGTGACACTTGTGGTCCTGGCACTGGCGTGACACTTGTGGTCCTGGCACTGGCGTGACACTTGTGGTCCTGGCACTGGCGTGACACTTGTGGTCCTGGCACTGGCGTGACACTTGTGGTCCTGTCACTGGCGTGACACTTGTGGTCCTGTCACTGGCGTGACACTTGTGGTCCTGTCACTGGCGTGACACTTGTGGTCCTGTCACTGGCGTGACACTTGTGGTCCTGTCACTGGCGTGACACTTGTGGTCCTGTCACTGGCGTGACACTTGTGGTCCTGTCACTGGCGTGACACTTGTGGTCCTGTCACTGGCGTGACACCTGTGGTCCTGTACCTGGCACATCTACGGTGTCACTGGTAAAAAAGTATCACCATACCAGCCTCGCCTCGTGGAAACCTGACACAACGCCACAGCTAAATCCTCATTCAAGACATTTAACCCAATTTGTGTTGCTGTAATTTTCAGACTTTCACGCGTTCGTCTCCCGACTATAACTTTCTTCCAGAAGGAAGAGCGCTGGAGTCCCCCCCACTCCTCCACAGAAACGTGGCCGCCCGGGTATCTCCTTTGGGTTTGAGCTCATTTCCTCCTGTACTTTAACGTTTTAATTCATATACTGTTATCTCCCTGTTACAGGAGTCTCGCCAGAGTTCGTGATCAAGGAAGGAGACGAGAGGGGACACTTCTGGCTACACCCCACCACTGGAAGACTCGCCCTGCGAACTCCGCTCGACTTCGAAGCTAAACAAGAGGTGACTTTTAAGTGTTTTGACCAAGTAATATAAGGGCAGATCGAAACGAGTCTTTGTTAAGTCATCATGCCTTGATGAAGCTCTACATAAGCTAAAATATCATCTTGATGAAGGCCTGAGCTCTCAGTGTCCTTTTATTGTTCTCTTCCTTCCTTCCCTTCCCTTCCTCCTTCACTTACTTGCCTCCCTGCCTCCCTGCTTCCAATCATCCACCCTATGCTTCCCTTTCCTTTCCTCCCTTCTCCCATTATAAACACCATTCACCTACCCCTATTCCACCTTTCTCATTATATCAACACCATTTCTCAACTCTTTTGTCCCCCTTTCCCTCATTCTCCGTCTCCCTTCTATTTCTTCAGCACTGTTCCCTACTCCTCCTTCCCACCCCTTCCCCTCACCACCTGGACACCAACTGAAACCTCCACAACATAAACTTTCCAGAGTCAAAATGAAACAGTCTGACATTCGCCAACATTTTTTCCCCAATTTTTCAGCGCCCATCTCATGCCCTTCCCTTCCAAAAAATAAAATTTCGGCATGCTCTGTGAACATTCCAAGACTGGAGAATTTCCAATATTATTGTCTGTATTAATGAACAACCAGAGTAAAATAATCACTAAAAACTAGCAAAGGCTTTCCCAGTGGAGAGGTGAGAAAGACCTGAGAGCAGCAGCAGCAACACTAGCTGCAGCAAATACGCCAGTAATAGAAGACCAAGCAGCAATAGTAGCAAATACACCAGTAATAGAAGACAAAACAGCAATAGCTTAAGTAGCACTAGCATTGTTAGACAGAGTAGCAGCAATAGTAACAAAACTAGCAGCAGAAGAAGCACCAACAGAGGCTAAAGCAGTAAAGCAGTAGCAGAAACAGCTGCAACAACATGAAGAGCAACAGAAAAACCAGCAGCATCAGCAGCAGAAGCGGAAACCGACACCATCAGAAGAAACAGCAAGAAAGAACAGCTGAGCCATAGCACCGCTGCTGCACCAGGTGAAAATACTTCGCAACACAGTATCACTAACAGATGTGATTCATGATGCAGCTAACTGGGGCTTCATACTGTGAGAGAGGAACCCACGAGAGAGGAACCCACGAGAGAGGAACCCACGAGAGAGGAACCCACGAGAGAGGAACCCACGAGAAAGGAACCCACGAGAGAGGAACCCACGAGAGAGGAACCCACGAGAGAGGAACCCACGAGAGAGGAACCCACGAGAGAGGAACCCACGAGAGAGGAACCCACGAGAGAGGAACCCACGAGAGAGGAACCCACGAGAGAGGAACCCACGAGAGAGGAACCCACGAGAGAGGAACCCACGAGAGAGGAACCCACGAGAGAGGAACCCACGAGAGAGGAACCCACGAGAGAGGAACCCACGAGAGAAGAATCCAGGGAAGACGAGCCAACTAGAGAGGAACGCACGGCAGAGGAACCAACGGTAAAGAAACCAACGAGACTTGTCCTGCGCTTAGCACACTGAGGCTCCTGGAGCACCCGCTACTCCCTGCGCCAAATGACCCATACGATTGCTTAATTAGGTTTAAAGCCTATCGATTACTCGACGATCATTAAGGCTGCACCTCGCCTTCTCACCTCCAGTCAAGAACACCTTAAACCCCCAAAAACACGGATGAAAGCAAGCTTTCAACGTATATACACACTGAATACTTACATTAGACAAGCTTAGATTTAGAAAGGATATAGGAAAGTATTGGTTTTGAAATAGGGTAGGTGATGAGTGGAACAGTCTACCTAGTTGGGCTATTGAGGCTAAAACCTTGGGTAGTTTCAAATTTAGGTTGGATAAATACACGAGTGAGAAGGGTTAGATTTGAGTGGGACTTGCATACGAGTGGATGGAGTTGTCAGAGCTTATTTCTTGGGTGGCATTGAAAATTGGGTTGGACAAATGTTTTGTTAGTGGGATGGAGTGTGAAGGACCTGCCTAGTATGAGCCAACAGGCCTGCTGCAGTGTTCCTCCTTTCTTATGTTATCTCTAAATGCAGACATCCTGTGACCCTTACGGGTTTTGCACTTTACGTGAATGAAACATATTTGTTAAAATCCATTTAGGACACACTGAAAGACCCAATTTTGCTTAGACTTCGTTCGATAACTTATAACTAGAATTATGAAATATATTCCAAAAGAACGTTAACAAAAAATACTTTATCTGACGCAATAAGATCAATAATGGCAATAATAATGACAAAAATAAAATAATAATTACAGAATATATACACCGAAACTGTGTATGTCTTTCAGTGTATATAAGCTCAAAGTTTACTCAAGTCGCTCTTTTTAGGGATTAAAGTTTTGTTGCTGGTGGTGTGCGATTGATACGAAGTTTGAATGACACTCGTGTAATCTATAGTCTTTAAACCCTCTTAACCAACAATAAACTATTAAAGATAAACAAATATATACAGCAAGTTAAAAAAAAAGTTGGGGGGGAGGGGGTGAAAGGATTGCCATAAATAACAATGACACCGACTGGGGTAGAGAGAGAGAGAGAGAGAGAGAGAGAGAGAAAACAGCTTACCGATTTTTACGACATCATCTCTTCCACGCCTCTTTCCTCCCGTCAATTTTTCAGGCTTTATTGACACGGCTGAACCTTCCCCCCACAACAAAATTTTCCAGAGCGCCGATGCAAGGGAAGCGGAAAGCAGTTTAATGGCTTTTATTGCTTCCCAGTTAGGTAACAAAGGTGGACTAGGGCAGTAAAGTAAGTCATGATAGGGGCCACACCATTAAGACGAAACAAGAAAAAAAAAGAACCCGGTTGTAGATTTAATTGTGTTCGGGATCGTCGGCTCAAAACACAGAGAAAGTCTATGGTGGAGTTTTACTCTTTTAACTTTGTAAACACTCCAGTGAAAAAATACTACGAAAATGGGTTAAAACGTTATAAAAGAAAATGGAGATTGTTCAAATAAAATGGGAGGAAAACTTTGAAGAAAAGGGATGAGATACGATTTGAGAATGTCCAAAGAAAAATGAATAAGAGAATGATTAAAGAAAATTAAAAAACGTTAACGAATCATGAAGATAATAAAACTGAGGAACTGATATATATATATATATATATAATATAAATATATATAAATATATATAATATATAAAATATATATATATATATATTAATATATATATATATAATATATATATATATATATAAAGATAGGAAAATTTCCACTGGGGCATCCCTTCCGGTTTAGGGCCTTCCACTGGAGCATCCCTTCCGGTTTAGGCCTTCTACAGAGACATCCCTTCCGGTCTAGGACCTTCTTCTGAGGCATCCCCTTTTCACACCTAGGTGTTACTTCCGGTTTTGACCATGACCTCGCCCTCGAGACTACCTCACCCTCGACCCCCCAACCAATACCCCCGCCCCACGACCCCCCTTCGCGACCCCCGCCCCGCGCGCCTGCGCGCCCGCGCGCCCCGCCCCGCCCCGCGCGCCCCGCCCGCGCCCTTCGCGAGCCCCGCCCGCTCCTTCTGCTGCGCCTTCTGCAGCGTCGTCCGGATCGCCCCCGCGCCTCGAATTTTTTCCGATTTTTTTCGAATTTTTTTTGAATTTCATTTTCTTGTGCTCTCCATCTCCTCGATCAAGGTTTTTGGATTCC